GCAGCACACCAGATCCTAATAAAACAAGTGTTGGCTGCAAAGATGAGACTGCGCAGCGCGGATACTTTCAACAGGTTGATTGCTTTGTTGCTAGCTTGGTTGGTTCCTGTTCTTCTTCTGTGTTGTGGGTCGTGGCGATTGCGGCTGTGGTTGTTGTCGTTGCTGTTGGTTCTCGTTGCTGTTGTTGTGGATCCGAACTCGAACTGGTCCACCCCCCCTGATACGACACTTGTGTGTCGATCCGAACTCGATCTCGAACTCGAACTCGAACTGACTGGTCCACCCCCCTCTCGCTCGATCCACGCAATCTCGCGCATCGAACTCGAACTTGAACTCGACCTCGAACGGGATCAGTTAGAACTACCTGGGGCACGGCCTGTCGAATATTGAATAGTGTTCATAATCGGTCATGCCATTTCTGCTCATCCGAAGTCCGAAGGTTTATTAATATTTTGCAGTATGTACATGAGCCATGAGCAACTACACATATATATATATGGTTCATTTATTAAAGTAAAAAGGGAGAGGTGACCCTATGTCGAATTAAACATAATTTCGAAGGCCGAGATAGAGCCTCCTCAAACAACGAGACCTTAATTGCCTCTCTTGCTAGCAAACATGCTCAGATATTTATGCAAGAGCAGAAAGTCATGTAAACGTGACAAGATAGGACTGGATATGACCCTCCAAAGCAAGCTGACAAATTGCGCTTGGAACTGAACATAAAGGATCCCTTTTCCTTCGGGATACTAATGGTTGTGGAGTTGTCAATACCTTGCTAAAAGTCCAAGGAATTGGTGCGCTGCACAGTGGCCACAGCCGGCAATGACCATCGCCTTGGTGCTCAGGAAGCTCCTCCTGCCATCATATCGTGCCAGAGCTCAACTGTGGTGTCAAAATCCGTTTAGCATAAATATGCAGGACATTGTTTTACTCTTTTTGCCTGAAAAGGAGCACAACAACAGTAGGGTCTCACGCTCGTGTCACAATATGTTTAAGTGCCTAAAGTTTTGCCATTGGCAGTTTGCATTTCTGAGGCTGTACCCTGGGCAAGGCTTTGAGGCCTACGTCGACAGTGTGATAGCAGGAGCAGATTTACTTGGATACAAGGCAGAGAAGAAAAAGCAGCCCACGGGTTGCTCTCAGGCAATGTTCATCGAGGCAAATGTTGAGGACCTGGAAACTGGAAAAATGGGGCGTTTGAACGAATTCACCATGATGTCCTTGTGGACAAGTTTGTACCTTAATGTTGTGTAATCACCCACAGTACCATGTTTTTTGCTGTTTTTTTGACTCGCTACTTTTAAGGGCGTGTGGATCAAAAGTTGAGAAGAGAAAAAGAGCATAATGAAAAATATGTTAATGATAAAGAAGATAATCATGCATGATGAAAAAGTAAATTAACTTGAAAAGAAAGAGCTGTTAGTCCACTGGTCCCCGGGCTCTCGCACGACATGCGTGGAAGCAACCAAAACCTCGAACTGTGAAAATTGAAAAAAGTCAGCTTGAAGTCTGAAAATTGGCGCCTTTCACTTGAAGCCCTTGAAAATCCTTTCACGTGTTCTTCATCGATTGAAATGTGTGTGACTGTTTTGTCATTTCCGTGAAAGCCTCATCATTTTCTGTTCCTTTCCCTACACCAATGGGGTAAGGATCATGCAATACACGTTCGACTACGGAAAATTCCAACCATACAAAAAGCCCTTTGCGTTACTGTTGGGTTGTTTTAATGTTTGACACCATGAGATGGTAAGTATTTGCTACATTGAGACCTTGAGACCAAAAAACAAAACCCATGCAAAGTGATTCAGCATCACAAGCTGGGTTACTTAGGCCTGCTGTTTCAACAACGCCTAAGGCGAACGCCTACGACAAACATTGCGCAACAAAATGCCTACAAACGCCTACGTCCCCAAGCAGGTTGCCTACGCCACCCTGTTGAAGGTTACGTTTTGTACATATATAAATATATATATATATAACCTTTTCATACCAAAAAAGACTCAGCTCTTTCGCTGTTTGTGTTGGAGGCCGGGGGCAGCTAACTCCTGTTGTGTTGAACAGCTTCGTTGCCAGCATTATAGGTATGACTCTACATGATTATATTGAATGGGAGTAGTGTACCTGTACCGCAGTGAAGATAAGTCCAGATGATGCCCCTGCTGCCAGTGAACAAACCCAAGCATAGAAAGGGCTTTGAAAATAAAAAGACACTGAAAGGGCCAAGACAGTGAAACATAATGAAACATAGATCAGGGAATGAGTACATGAAGGGAACATGGTACAGTAGGATGTTCAAGAAGAATCTAAAATAAAATGTAAGGAAAATCAAAGTATGTTCAAGGAGATGAAAAAGCAATGATGAGCATGAAGTCATTGCTTGCTGTTCTGGCTGGTCTTCCATTCAGAAGCACATAACCAATGTAACAAACATGCCCATAGTTTAGTGCATGTGAGCTGCTGCGAAATCGTTTCCAATAGTTCTCCAAAACCGTTAATTATCGAATAAGTCATGCCTACCGTAGGCTTTCACTGTGGAACCGTAGGCAAACCGTTGTGTTCTGTGTAGGCACCCAAGGATGTTAACAGCACCACGTCTTTAAAAATATCTAAACGCTGATATCCCCTCCCCTCATCTCACATCGCGCTTCGTCATGTCTCTCGTGTTTAAATCAGAACCTACCATGGTAATGGTTTTGCAGGGCACTCCTTGGGGGCTAGGGTCTTTTGAATTCCGGTTGACAGTCCTTTCCTTTGCACTCATGTATCTCGATCACGTGTCAGTCATCCACGGTCATAAGGATATCATATTATGAATGAAGAGAAATAACAGGTGAACCCGAGTTATTCTAGAATTTTGGTTTAAGAATTTCTCAGGCCGTCTCAGGCCAGTGTGTAGCTCAGAGTTACTTTCAAGAACCAAGATATTCAAGAAGGTTCGATGACTTTGAGATGACAAAATTCATGCGACATTCAGTTTGACCACTTCAGGACCGAAATCGAACTGCACCATTCCCCTTCTGTGGAAATCGCTTCGAGTTCCGTGCTGTGGGCTCTTCACAAAACTGCTGTTTGCCAGTTATGGTGTGCAATGCCATCATGGCAGCCGGCATGGGAAAGCTTGCAGAGATGATTGAGGGAGGCATGAGCCACAGAGATGCCGTTGCTAACATGTACAAGGAGCTGTTGATTCAGAATTGAATGTGTCATTGGGCCCAGAGTATAAAAACATTAAGAACTACAGATATAGTATAAGACTAAGAGTATAAGAACTGCAGAAACACTTGGATTGTTTAGTTACTTGGAAGGCCGTTTATGTTTTTCCTGTGATGGCATCTCGAGACGAGTCAGGAGAACAAACATGTGATTTTCACTGGCAATGGCTACTCTGCCGAGTGGAAAGAAGAGGCTGCGAAGCGAGGCTGGGCTGAACCTTAGAACAGACCATGAGACCTATAACGAATTGGTTCTTAGAGACTAAGAGCAGGAGCCCCTTCTACAAGACTGAGGTAGAATATTTGGCTAGAATGCAGCTTGACCACCGTCCTTTCATCGTGATTCAAGTTGATTGAAGCAGCTGTTTATGTTTCTGTGTATTTTGTTCTTTTTGTTGCCTGATTAGTGCTGTCAGGCTTGCCAAACTTGAATACTACTCCAAAGGCGGTTGCAACTTGGAACTCTGAAAAGAACTCCAAGTTGCTTCTCGGCTGTCCATTGACAATGTCGAGTCCATGCACTTCGAAGTCCTTCTCAATGCATTTTGATGTTTCTTTTTTTAGCCTGCCCTTACTTAATCAAGTAGGGCCGGCCTACTTATATAATTCGGTGAGGGCTAGCCGCTACTACCTACTGGACGCAGGATAGCTCCCGCTTCTTCAAGGAAGATCCCCCGGCCGCCCCAAAGACGGCGGGCGGGAGCATACTTGAGAAGCGCTGGCACTAGTAATTGCATTTTGTTCCTATATGTTTAAGGCAAACAAAGGAGTCCACTAGACTAGACGAGTTCAGTGTATTTTCTTTTTACCATCCGAGGTTCGAAACGTTGAAGATCTATACTCCTGAGGAGACCGCCGCAAGACAAGAAGTGCCCTGGTTCGCAAGTGCACGAGTCGAGCAGCCCCTCCTTAAATGGTGCAAAAGGTCTTGTTTGACTTGCTTGTGGCTTCGTACTCGGAACATACCTCTTTGCTCAAGTCAGAGCATTTATGAGAAGACACACACACTGTTGAAATGCTTGTCGGAGCGTCGACTAGCATAACGCATCAGCAGCTTGAAAACAGTGTGGACATCAAATTTTACAGTAAGTATTGTGTGATTTGCACCATCAATTGAAGTGCCGAGGTCATGTATGAGAACTACATTGGTTGCTTGAGCACGGAAGCAGAGACAATGGTCAACATGACTGAGACTGGCATTTTGCCGGCATGTGCAAAGGACTTGCAGAAGTGCAGCACAGCGAGCAACAAGTTTGCAACACCCAGAAAGGTTGCCTACGAAGAAGTCGTAGATCGGCTCTTCGGCCTTATTGACGTGTTGAGAACCGATGACAATGGTTGTCCATGTGTGGTTTTTGTATTTCTGTGTGTTTTTAATACATTGCATAGCGAAGGTTCTCGTTTTGATTTGTTGGGAGCTTGAGGCTAGAGAGTTGTTCGCGTGACGTTGCTTTCGTGTTCTCAACCGTTTGCTAGCGACCGAATGTGATCAATAAGCCTTGCCTTTGGGGGAAGCTTTTGGAGGAGGGAAGCCTGAAGTGTCAGATTCATGCAAGATAGCGTAGAAACTAACATAACATACTACGCACCATGTTGAAGTGTGGAGGATGATTTTGTTGTGCAGGTGAACCGTTTCGTGCGATCCTCAGTTGCCTTCGCTGCGCCATTGGGATTGGCGTTGGCAGCGTGGTATTTGATTGTACGTGGAAATGCGGATTTTCTTCCTGTCAGCCACTCAGCCACTCAGGATCTTGAGTGGCTGAGTGGCTGACAGGAAAAAAGTCTGAGTGGCTGAGTGGCTGACAGGAAGAAAGTCTGAGTGGCTGAGTGGCTGACAGGAAGAAAATCCGTTGAGAGTATGCGCGAAGAAAATCCGTTGAGAGTATGCGCGAAGAAAATCCGCTGAGAGTATGTGCAATCCTTACTTGTAGAATCTAGAATTAGACCACTGTTCCATTGGAGCCAAAGCCGACGCAAGCACTTTCTTGGCTCCACACGTTCAATCGAGCGCCATCCTCCGAATCAGCGACCACTTGGTGACCGATTCGGGTTGGTTTAAGTTCGGATTTTTGCCGCCGGGTTTCTTGCTTCCGCCTGCCGCGACATCTGCGCTTCGAGGTTCACAAAGTGCTGCGCCTGCCACGAAACCTGCACTCCAAGATCTACAAATTTCTGCGCCTGCCACGAAATCTGCCCCGCGTCCTGGCAATGGATTCCTGTTGGGGAGAGAGCTCCGAAACAGCGACCACTTGGTGACCGATTCGGGTTGGTTTGGTTTGGGTTTGCTTGCGGCGACCGCTTCGGTGCGGGGGAAGTCCGAATCAGCGACCAGTCGGTGACCGATTCGGGTTGGTTTGGTTCGGTTTTTGCCCTGCAGGTTTCTTGCTTCCGCCTTCCGCGACATTTGCCCTTCGAGGTTCACAAAGTGCTGTGCCTTCCACGAAACCTGCACTCCAAGATCCACAAAGTGCTGCGCCTGCCACGACATCTGCGCCGACTCCTGGCTACCGATTCCTGTTGGGGAGAGCACTCCAAATCAGCGACCACTTGGTGACCGATTCGGGTTGGTTTGGTTCGGGCTTGCTTGCTTGCTTGCTTGCGGCGACCGCATGCGACCGCTTATTCGGGTTGGCTTGGTTCGGATTTTGGCCTGCGGGTTTCTTGCTTCCGCCTGCATCCGAATCAGCAACCCGTTGGTGACCGATTCGGATGATTTCCAGTGTTGTGCGTTTTGCAGCGGGCCTTTGGCAAATTTAGTCAGTTTTCCAAGAGTGATGCTTTCACAGGTTTTGCGAAGTACCGAACGCGGCCTGAAACATTGTTGCAGAATCAGCGACTTGTTGTGAGTCACTCAGCCACTCAGACTTTCTTCCTGTCAGCCACTCAGCCACTCAGACTTTCTTCCTGTCAGTCACTCAGCCACTTAGACTCTGTCAGCCACTCAGCCACTCAGACTTTCTTTCTGTCAGCCACTCAGCCACT